GGCACCTGTTACTACTAGTAAGGCACCTGTTACTACTAGCGAGGCACCTGTTACTACTAGCGAGGCACTTGTTACTACTAGTAAACATCTGCGTCTTTGGTCTTTTCAAGCTTTGCAAAAGTGCCAGGCACACAGGAATGAAGGCGACTGAGCCTAGCAATAGTTGACGCCGCGTGATCTCACAGGCTGAAGGGACATGCGACAATACTTAGATTTGGGACTACTTTCGATGGACTTTCTTGTAAGCCTGCAGGCAAAGGGGTCATTGGGTAGCCTTCATGACAGTCACATTCGGTGCAATGCGCGCTGTACGCACCATCAAGCGCAACTTCACCATGTTCTTGTTCTTGTGTAAGGGATCTTTCCGGACCAGCCTACCGACCTCGAAATTTATCAAAATGTGGAAGGGTTCTGTTTTACAGAAGACATTTGTGCTTAAAGACCATTTTTGTTTCTTATTTAAGACATATCTTTTCTTCTTCGCCTTTGGGAGGTATTTTGAGCGATGGCCTCCAACCTAAGAGCGATGGTTTCCATCCTAAGAGCGATGGCCTCCAACCTGAGAGCGATTCCCTCCAACCTGAGAGCGATGGCCTCCAACCTACTAGCGATGGCCTCCAACTAAGAGTGATAGCCTCCAACCCAAGAGCGATGGCCTCCAACTTAATAGTTTCCGCTGTTTCTTGAAGCCTTTGTACCTTTCTGACCATTTTTTCTTTCTTCCAATTCTGGACGCAGAAATCTTAAGTCGACTTCTTGATTTAAACAATAGAATCACAAATCTTCACTCCGTAAATCTTTCTTCACTGTTCCTTTTCTGACGAAAGCTTTGTCCTTTCGGCGGCTTGACCAGAGTTGCCTTGGGGAGATTGCCAGGCATTGCCCGGCATGGAACATGGGATCCCAAAGAGAGACATGTCAGGCACTTTCGACATCAAACGTCAAAAAGAAATTCAATGAATACTCTTTCTGCAAAGACCGAAAGGCAGCACAAAGCACTACTTTGCTTTGTGAATATCACAGCCATGTGAAAGTTTCATCCGATATGCAAGCACAAGTGGGCTACCATGTTCCAAAACAATTTCACGTTCTTTTTGAGAAAAGAGCTAGCAATGTCAAGCTCATCAAGCCATAATGCGCCTCTGTGGGCGGTTGGCTCTCGCTCTCAGCACACTTGAGGTGTGCATTTTTCACAATCACCATGACAGATGCTTTATTTTTTGTATTCAAATGCTAGTGGTTTTCATCAAAAATACAAGGCGAAAAAGAGAGCATGGCACAGAGAACTCTAATGGCCTAAAGAACATGTGGAAAAAACACAGAGATACTACTAGTAAGGCACTTGTTACTAGTAGCGTGGCACTTGTTACTAGTAGCGTGGCACTTGTTACTACTAGTAAGGCACAGAGAACTCTAATGGCCTGAAAGAAGAGATTGCACAGGCGGAAGGTGACGATTGTTCAAGCCTCTCTCAGCTTGGAGCGACTGGAAGGAGTCTGAGAGCGGAGAATGTTCGCGACTGTTTAAGAGGAGAGATACGCAGAGAGTCAGGTAGAGCTCGAATTGTTTTGATGGAGCTTTGCAATGAGATGAAGGGCATTGAAGTGCTGAGGCTTAACATCTTGACAATCAAATAGGTCACACACCACTAAAACCCTGCGCTATAGACATGTCAGTACATTTGGGAAGATGGTCACTTTCTGGCAAGGGACTTCCTTTTTTGTCCCACTTTCGAGAAGTGTTCGAGTCGCATTTTCGTCGCAAAGAGCTGGCGTGGCGCTTGAAATGCAGACCCGGCAAATTGAAAAAGAGCTCAAAAGACATATATATATATATATCCCTCTCGACGACGGAATTCGACATCGGCCTAAATGGGTCATTCAAACGCAACGACAGCATGGCTTGCGGGTGAGCCTCCAGTCTGGAAATCCATTTGCACAACACTGGGATCAGAAAGGCAACTTTTCGTGAACTCTGCTGAACAGATCCCAGTGTTCTTTTCCTTGGGTGTGGAAGTTTGATGTCTGGCACACCAATTGGATGCGCCAAATCTCATCATGTTTTCCATACCCAGCTTGCTTATTCACCCTGCTAAAAAGGCAGCTGCACACAGCTTGGTCAAGGCGGCCTGACCAACTCAATGCTCTGCGAGCATGACCATTGCTTTGCTCAGATTGCACTGGGCTCAAGTTTTTATTTTTTGGGCTCCAAGAACCGGGTGTAACAGTGACTTTGCTGCAGAACCGGAGATTTGGAACCGTCGTTTCGAGGGTTGTCGACAGATTTTCCGCCCAGGCCAAGACTTGTGCGGATGGCCCAGAAATGTGGAGGGCGCATCCTGACTGATGAGGAGGCATGGTGAGTTTGTGACAAGCTAGGCTTGCAATTATGTCAAACAAGAGCAGCTTTTATGCCATTTGCAGGTCCATGAGCCTCTTGGCAGAAATGCTTGAGTTGCAGAAGCAGATTATTGGTTGAATGTGAAAGACACATTGAGCTCCAAGGAATGTCATGAAGGCACTAGCCTTGGAGGAAAAGAAAGACCTGCGACGCCTGGGTAAGGACAGAGTTCGTGTGTTTCACGCGGCCCGTCTCTCATCGTTATGTTTACAATGCAATGCCCGCATTTGATTCTAATTAAATCAATAGTAGTAGTTTCTTGTTACTACCAGTAAGGCACTTGTTACTAGAAGCGATGCACTTGTTTCTAGTAGCTTCTTGTTACTGTTTACAATGCAGCCTGCAGTGCCCGAAGGAGTACGAGGAACGCCGCGTGGATGTAGTGCGCCCTGGGAAAGATGGCCTCCAACATACTATTAGCGTCCGATCGCTCCGTTCGTAGCGATGCCAGGAGCCCCTAGTAGCGTCCTTGCTCCTAGTCTACTGCACAGGATGTTCAGATGCTAAGTATTTAATTAATGTTCAACGCACCTCCTGCAGCAATGCGCGTGGATCATATCTTCATGACTGTGTGCTCAAGCTTGCCAGGTGGATAATGTTTGTGGCGAGGATGGCAAGCCGCTGCCAGAGATGGACGCCGTCGTCCTGAAGAATCTCAATTTCATCGGCATTTTTTGGGGCGGGAAAGATGGAACACACAATAGAACAAGAAGAAATATTGAAGAAGAAAGGATAGAAAGGGAGACAAAGAAGTTGAGAAAAGACATGTGATGAAGAAGCGCTTAGTTTCGCTAGTTAAGTTTCCCTAAGAATCTAGGACGAAATCATGAGTGCGTCAGCTATCCTGCGTGCTAGCTAGGAGTGAACTTAGCCTAGCTTCTCCCTTACTTAAGTAGGAGGGCGGGGCCACGGGCTAAAAATAGAAGGCAATTGCTCAAGAGAACAAAAGACACGTAGTGTCCTTTGTTTCTAGTAGTAAGGCCAGGAGCCCCCAGTAGCGATGCCCTTTGTTACGAGTAGCGTGGAGTTCATGGTCTCGGTTAGTCAGGTCTTCCTGCTTCACTGAGGAACAAGACGAGTGCGACCAACTCCTTGTCACAGCTCGCAGCCAAGCTTCTACGTTTTGAACAAACAAGCTTCAATTTTTTGGATCTTCAGTTCGCAACCTTTCTCGTCTCTCACAGAGCGCACTGCTTTGCTTCAAGGACAGAGTGGGCATCCATGGAGGCGAGAGAAATAGGTGAAAGAGGCAGAAATTCAACAAGAAACACTTCTGGGGTTTGCCGGCACAACGGTCAAAACTGAACCAACAGTTGTGACCGCACCTGCAAGCCCCCTAGCCCCTAGGTCAGCAAGAATGCTTCTTGGTAAACCTTTGCTAATCTGTGCACTTGTTACTACTAGTAAGGCACTTGTTACTACTAGTAAGGCACTTGTTACTACTAGTACGGCACTTGTTACTACTAGTAAGGCACTTTGTCAGTATGTTTTCTTCAAAGAGTCCTGCAGGCTGCAATGCCCGCTGAAGAGCGGCAGACGCATCGGAATCTCCAGGCGGCAGAAATGAGCGCTGTGCAAACTGATTATGTCAGACCAGTTTGACAAACTCTTTCCACTTGTGTTCGTTCGTGCTTACAACGACAATGTTTTATCTCCTTTCGGAAACGGGCTACTCTCGGCTGCCTTAGATTCTTTCTTGCGACGAGGCAGCCCTTGGGAGGGAGACTATGTTTGCTCTTTCCCTCCACCTCGTTGTTGCATTCTGCATGTGTCTCTCTGCTCCCAGTTGGAAGCCGCCAGTTGGTTGAAGGCCATCGCGGCCATTGCTAGTAGGTTCTTCAACCGGGGTGCTTGGTCCAACTCTTGCCCGTTTATTTCTTTGTCCTGTGCCACTTGCTGCCTCCTGCAGTCAAATTTATATCCATTTCATGGGAGCACACTGAAAAGCCTTCATTTTTGGCGTAGATAGAGGATAAGGCTCATCTGCTTGTTCTCGTTTTCCTTTCGCTAACAGTGTGACCATCTTGATTCGATTGTGATTCTCGAACCAAGCATTGACCGCTTGTTGCTTCTTCTCCAACCACCCCCCGTGCTTAAAAGCTAGGAGGAAGGAACGAATCAAGCAAGGAAGGCAGAATGACTTACTGGACAAGTTCTTGGCCTGCTTTTGCGGGGAGGGGCTGCCTGCCCTTCACCCCCCAACCTTTTTCAAACGTGAATGAGATAAAATAACACGCCAGCAAGCCAACCAACGAACCATGTAGCCATCCATGTCATGACTTGTTCTGTGCTTCTGCCAGCAGGTGCCGCACCATCCCCCGTAACCCCCTGCAGCTTTCTTCATGACCCCAGACCTGTGAAAACAGATCAAGTGGATTCGGTCCCCTATGTGAGCCTCGTGACCGACCACAGCCTTGGACACCAAGTCATCTGGAAGAACATCCCACCTGTGACTTTTCTGAAAAAACCATTAAAGTAAACTGGAGAACCCAACAAAATGGAGAACATCTCTGCCGCAAAGCTAAATATGTAGAAAATGGAGAATCCAACAGAAGGCGAGAATGCTTGGTAAGCTTGTTGATCCATCATTAGGATATGCAGCGCGCAATGGTCCATACCAAGGTATTTGGCCACTTGCATCTAAAGAGCACCATGGCCATTTGTTCGCTTCAATGTTTCGTTTTTTGTAAGAGATGCGCTGCAGTTGTTTGGATCTACGGTCGGATTTGTTCTTTTTGATATTCGGAGCCAAGAGTAACACTTGTCCCTGTGAGTATCTACCACACTGCCAAATCTGTGAGTAGTGTATTTTGGCGTTG